AACCCAAATTTCTCAAGAGATGATTCGAACTTCTCATGCCCAAAACCAATTCTTTTATTCACAGGTTGTTACTAAAGTTTTTGTATTTTCACTAAAAAAAGTGCATGAACAGTTCTTGAAAGTAACCAGCACGATATCAGAAAATTTACTGCAACCTTGTACTGGTACATTCACATTATCGATGGGTCTTCTTTGCTCACATAGAATTCAAAAACATCTCAACAATAATCAATACTTACAACTTACCGATTTTCACAAACATTGGTAGCTTCAAAGACACCAATTATTTCTACCAATACCAACTGGAGTAGAAAATCCTATGCAACAAAGGTGGCAAGAGTATAGTCAACAATTTAACTCTTGGCCAGCTCACCAACAAACAACAGCTTTGGACGAAATATCAAGCTTGCTCCAAGAACCTGCTATTGTCGTGCAAGACTCATGGGAACAACACACAAGGGGACGCCCAGTTGGTGCAAGGAATGCACAATCATCTACCCGAAGAGACCCATCTGCTTTTGAGTTAGCTGAACCGGGAAGAAGAAAATGTGTATTATGTCATAGAACTGGGCACAATCATAGAACATGTCCTAATAACAATAAACAGAACTAAGTATTTAGTAAAATATAAAAAATGCAAAAAATGTATATCTTAAGACACTATAACCCCTCATATACTGGTTCACTTCATATATCACAGCTGTTTCAATCTATACGATATGGTTCTAAAAAACAAACTTTTAAAAAAGATTTTTAGTACACTTATTTATAGTAAAAATATAAAGAAACACTGTAATATGCATTACATACGTATTCGTATATGCTGCAAAATAGAATATTGTTAACTTTAGATTATAAGCATAAACATGTAATGAAAGCAAATATATGTGATTAAAGTCAAAATTCAAATGCGTGTCTAATATGTAAAGTTGGAACTTGAAACATTTCTTTTGACGAATTGTTATGTTCAGAGGAAGAATATGCTCAAAAACAGTAATATTCGTAAGCTTTAAAGCATGTAACATAAAACAACCTCTAAATAAAATCATTGTGTAATAAAAAAAAATTTTTAATTTTATTTAACTTATTTAAGATTCTATTTCAACGTAATAATAGATTATTTATCTAGCGAATCCTATTGGCTAACTACACTTGCACAGGATTGTAATTATGTGATAAAATCGAAATGATCGACATAATGCATATTCATAGTGCGAATAGCAAAAACCCATGGTGCGAATAGCGGTTCCCTAAATTTATTATATAATTTAGATTTATTTGAACTTAAATTAAATTTAAGTAAATTAAAGTTATTTAAACCAAATCTAAGTTCAAATAAATCAAAGTTGGATTTATTTAAACTTATTGTTAATTGGCAAATCATGAGTCATCTGAACAAATATTTTTTTTTTATATATAAATTTTATTATAAGCCCGAATATGGAGCACACCTATCTAAAACTTTTTTTTACTAAGTAAATCACTCTTGGGCTTGTAACAAAAGTTGTAAAGCTCATCAA